TACCGATGCATGACACTCCTTATCTAAACAACTTTCTTAAGTTCTTCAGTTTATGTGGTGACTCCCCGTCTGCAGGTCTGGCCAATGTCATCACCTTCGCCTACCTGGGTCGCGTCCACATGTCCCTGTACACCATCAGCTGCACCGTGTCCGCCGCCGCCACCCTGCAGATCCCGCAGCTCCTCAAGATGTGCGTGGACTTCCTGCTGGCCGAGCTCAACGTACAGACCTGTGTCTACATCTGGAACATCGCCGCCGCCTACGCCCTCCTGCCTGTGTGCGACGCCGCCCGCCGCTTTGTGCTGGAGAACTTTGTGCAGTTTGCAGAGACACCGCTCTTCAACCAGCTGACCGTGGAGCAGATCTCGGCCTTCCTGCAGGACGACTCACTGCTGCTGCCTTCAGAGGTCACCGCCTTCAAGGTCAGAGGTCAAACATCGTGTTTATTTGTTAATATAACATCGTTCCAGCACCTCCGGCCGAATTAATCACAGCTGCGGTTTAATCTTAAGTTTATTTTAATCCAAATTCTACTAAAATGCTTCTTACTGTGAATTTGGGGGAAAATAATATCAACTTCTCAGGTGCTCACTGAGAAGTAGTGCCGGCTCTTCTTGGAGGCGACTCCTGACACTTGCAGTGTTAACTCGCTGACCCTCTGGGACTTCCTTCTATTTTCATCCAGGACTAAAAACAGGCCCCAGACCAGCTGTTGAGAACCCAGCACAGACCCATCAATCCAAACCAGTCAGCTGCAGGTCGGCTGTGAGCATAAGGCCCCAAGTATAACTCCTTGCCTGTTTATTAATATTCAGCCGCATTACAAACTTAAATAGACAAACAGCTGAGAAGAAGTGATTTTATTTATAAACTGGACCATATGTGAGTCTGTGAATATCTCAGTAGATACATTAAACTGCTACCATCTCCGGACTGGTTTAGTAGCACAACAAATTACACATACTGAATCCAAACGGTGAGTTATTATCACAAATCATATTAATTAAACCTAAATCATAAGTGCCAAAACAAGACATTTTAAAACTTTTTCATGACAAACAGAAATCAGGAGATGTGGGTGTCCTGAACAACTATGGCCGCCGCAGGACTGGAAAATGAGAGAGTTTATGCTAAATCTTTAAATCTCTCATATCCAGTGATGTCATCTCCTCCTCCAGCTCGCCATGAAGTGGCTCGACTTTGATGCCTCCCGTCAGGTTCACGCCGCAGAGCTTCTGTCACACGTTCGCTTTGAGACCATCCCGGCCAGCGAGCTGGTGAGCCAGATCCAGCCTGTGCCGCGCATGATGCAGGACCCCCAGTGTCACCGCCTGCTGGTGGACGCCATGAACTACCACCTGCTGCCCTACCAGCAAAACACCCTGCAGTCCCGACGCACGCGGGTCCGCGCCGGGCATCAGACTCTGCTCATCGTCGGAGGGCGTCCGTCTCTCACCGAGAGAGCTCTGAGCCGAGAGGTCGGTGCTAAAAATGTGTGACTATACTGAATAGAAATAGAATAGAAATATCCTTTATTGTCCCTCAATGGGGAAATATGAGTGAGAGGACATGTCGTTTGATCCTGGGGCTGAGATTGACTTATTTCTTAGGAATCACACTGTTTGCTAGTTTTGTACTCTTTATATTCAGTTAAAACTAATAAAATGCCAAACTGACCTTTGACCTTGGCATTTAGGTGCTGTGGAGGGACCCTCGTGACGGAGGAGCCACCTGGCGTCACCTCACCCAGCTGCCAGCAAAGAGCTTCAACCAGTGCGTGGCTGTGATGGATGGTTTTCTGTATGTGGCGGGAGGAGAGGACCAGAACGACGCCCGAAACCAGGCGAAACACGCCGTCAGCACCCTCAGCAGGTGGGAGCAGGAACAACCAGCAGGACGCTCTCAGATATCTGACTGTAGTGAAGCTCACAGGGGGGTTAATGCTGCTCTTTGATCATATCATGGTGACTTTGATAGAAGATCACGTCTCAGAAAATATTAAAGCAATAAAAAGAATATTACTGCAGAACGTCTGGAAAAACATTTATAACCAATACATCAACAGGACCTTTAGATCAGTAACACGTCCCTGCTACTTTGGTTTTACCTAATCAGATATATTAGAGCCCCACTTTTACCTGAACGAGCCTTTAACTGACTCTCTCCTCATCCATTTCCCTACATCAGATATGACCCTCGCTTCAACACCTGGCTCCACCTGGCCAGCATGCGTCAGCGCCGCACACACTTCTCCCTGGCTGCCAGCGGCGGTCGACTGTTCGCCATTGGCGGGCGCAACGTGGAAGGTCTCCTGGCCACCAGCGAGAGCTACCTGCCCTCCTCCAACACCTGGCAGATGCGTGCCCCCATGGAGATGCCCCGCTGCTGCCACGCCAGCGCCACTCTGCCCTCCGGAGACATCCTGGTGACCGGTGGCTACATCAACTGCGCCTACTCCCGCTCTGTGGCGTGCTACAACGTGGAGACCGACGCCTGGTCCGAGAAGCCTCCCATGGAGACGCCCCGCGGCTGGCACTGCTCCGCCACCGTCGGAGGGAAGGTGTACGTGGTGGGAGGAAGCCAGTTGGGGCCTGGTGGAGAGCGGGTGGATGTGCTGTCAGTGGAGGTCTACTCTCCTGAGAGTGGATCATGGAGCCGGGCCGCCCCGCTGCCTCTTGGTGTGAGCACTGCAGGTCTGTCCTCGCTGGCAGAAAAGCTGTACCTGCTGGGCGGCTGGAATGAAGCGGAGAAACGCTACAAGGCGGCCGTGCAGAAATACGACCCGGCCACAGACAGCTGGTCTATGGCCGAGGATCTTCCCGAGCCCACGGTTGGAGTCTCCTGTTGCACCCTGACGCTCCCGCATCGCCAAACACCGCGCCGGCAGCACCGCAACACCCCGGGCAACGAAGATCAGCAGCAGGTCGCCAAGAACCGAAGCAGAGAGAGCAGCATGTCTTCATCACAGAGCACCACCGCATAGGAACACGGAGGAGGAGAGAGACCAGAGGAGAGCAGGGGCGGGTCAACCTCAGGACAACATCTGGATCATGTCTGATGTCTTTTCTGAAAAGTTTAGTGAACGTCACAATTTAAGAACAAAACAGATAAACTTAAAGGTTCATGTTGTAAATTTCTACATTTAAAAAAAGTTCCAAACCTTTTTGAAAAATGATCTAAAGTTCTGAAAAGCTGCTATGACTTTATGTCCAAAGCATCTGTGTTCTGTGTGTAAGAGGCAAACTAGGGCCGGGCCAGATTTTTGTGTAATAACACGATGTGCTGCAGCAAGTCAGCGTAGCTTAACCAGCCACTAATTTAATAAATTTAAAGGTATTTACTGTGGCTGTCAGGAAAAAGGCAAAGCCTGTCGAGGAAATAGGGGTAGATCAAAAGAAAGATCAAAAGTAAAACATCTAAATTAAAATCTCAACAAACATCAGTAGAGTGCTGCCCCCTGCTGGTGACAGGTTTAATTAAAGGGTAATTACAAAAAGTACCTTTAAACTGCCGCAAGTGCTGAGTAAATGACAAAATAAATGTAAACATCTGAGAAAACATTTACTCAAACACTCAAATGTGAATGTAGACATGGTAAAGTCACACTTATCATGCATATTAAGTTCATATTAACATAAGTGAGCATACTCAGCAAACATTATTAATACAGCTATGGTGACATTGCTTTCAGGTACGACAGAGGCCACAGACAGTCGAGGAGTTAAATACACGTGTCTTTGTTTTTTTGTTTTTTATATAATGACGTCTGAACGACAGTCGCACATCTTCCCCATGTTCACACACTGGTGCTCCCACAGTTTGAGCCATCACCATTCATCTGCATGTCAACTTATATCTGATCTGATTAAGGTGAACTAAAAGTGTCTCTCTGCACCGACGTCAGCGTTTCCTGTGATGGACGTTCAGTAAGAAATGGGCTCCAGAGTGTTTTACTTCGTTCAAATCGACAATCTGACCGAAGATTTAAACATTTAAACTTGCAATTATAGGCAGCTAACATGAAAACATGCAATATCCAGTACAAGTGACAGGGCATGTATGTAAGAATAAGAAGATGAAATACTTTATTTATCCAAAAAGTAGTGAAATACAAACAAAACACAAAAAAGATAAGATCACAGGCTCAGATGCTATAATTTATTTTATTGTTTTAAAAATTGTAAGCTGATTGATTTGAAACTCAGTTTCAAAGTTCCAGTCTTGTATTTATCCAATTTAACGTCTTCAAAGACACATTTCTGTCCACGTGCGTGTGTCCTCCATTTTTATGAAGTTAGAATCTGAGCCAACCACAGCACCCGAGCTGTTTTAAAAGAATAAATAGGAGACTGCATGGTCCGAAGGAGGTTTAAGGTGGATTGGAAACAGAAAAGGTGACGGATGGATGGGAAGGTGGAGCCGGTGGAGGAAGAGAGGCGACAGGTGGATGATGAAGGACGGATAGATGGAAAAAAGGTTATCTGTGTCTGGGGTGGTTTGATCAAACGTCGCTGTGAATCCGCAGGTTGTGCACCAAGATGTTTCTAAGCCAGCGCGTGGCTGTCAAAACAAGTGTGAATGTGTGTGTGAGTGTGAGAGAGTGATGGCAGGAGTGTGTGTCTGCTACAGCGAGAAAAAAAACTGAGAAAAACTGCAAAAAATATGACGATTTATCATCAGGAAACTTGAAATACTCAAGATCAACTCAAGAAAACCAGCAACAAACGATCATGTAGTCAAGGATTTATTTATTTAATATTTAATTTTAAGTAGTGTAGCTTAAACGTAACAAAAAAGACAAAAAATATGCGGATGCAGTGCCTGGAAAAATATATAAAAAAATAAAAAAGTTTAAGCAACTTGGCTTCAACACTAAACAATTAAGTTTCCCCAAAACATAAAAAAAGCATAAAAATCTGAATAAAAGGATAAAAATATACAAATAAAGAATTAAGTGGTGTCACTGCTCACCTGTTTTAACTGAAACTAAGACAAACTGCAGAACCAGTGAGACTCCAGCAGCTGTGGAGCACTTTCACAGATAAATATTCTGCATCCTGCACTTCATCTGATTGGCTGAACATGTGTTTGGGTGGTTTCTGTGGAGTTTCACTGAATAAAGACAATCTGATCAAAACAAGTCGACTCTGCCTCGTTTATTGTGGACACTCTCTTTTCTAGACGTCACGTTAGAAGTAGAGACACGAACGACTTACTGCTTTTCAGGGCAGAAAATCAGTGCAGGAAACATGACTGCACGATTTCAATAAAACCTAAGAAATTCATTATCCTTGTCCCTCGTAAACATGAAACAATAGTTTTGAGTAAAATGCAACAAAAATATAAAATTAAAAATGTATTTGCTTTATATAGATGTATGCGCTTGGTATAAAAAAATTTTAATTTTATTTGACCAGATTCCTTTTTAATTTACATTTTACATCACACTTGTGTAACAGAGTTACATGAAGACTTTAGACATAATCAAATAAGTCAGCATTTTGGGCATAAATATATAGATTATTTATCATGTGCAAAAACACAGGTTTATCATATGCAACATGGCACTGTGCAGGAGCCTGGAAATCGTACTGAGTATTTTGCAGGCATTTAAAGCCTTAAGGATAAATCGCAATCCTACTGATGTCAAGTGTCTTTGATCACGATCAGTTATGAAGCATAAACCTTCGTGGATCCACCCACTAATCCAGCAGGAGTTGTACCTGCTCCTCTGTGCTTAGAGAAACAGGAAGAGCGCTGCCTGAGCTCTGCAAAGTGAAGGGTTGTCTTTTGTTGCCATGGTTTCTGCTTCTCAACCATCTCAACACTTCCTGTTACACAGTGAGGATAGTTTTCTTGAGCACGTGATTCTGAAGGACTCATTTTGCAGAACACGCATTAATTTTTTATTTTATTTTCATTAATATGCCTATTGCATGATGTGAATTATAGCTGGTGTCACAGCAGGGGTACATTTAAACTGTACTAGAGTATATTAAAGAAGTTGCCTTTAAGCAGCATGTTCTTCTTCCTGAGACATAGAACAGAATAAAACGAAAATGCACCAAGAGCCTAATGAGCAATTTTAATTTTTAGATTTTAGAGCCCAAAGTTTACACAAAAACAATAAAAGACAAAAACAGCAAATGCTCCAGGTTGCAGTTAGAATGGACTGAGCCGCTCCATTTACAGTAAATGTTTACTGCTATGAGAATGTTGAGCAGAAGAACTTGTTTTATTGTTTAATTTAAATGTTTGTGTCTTGTAAATGAGACACTGAGTCTCAATGGGACTACCTGCATAAATAAAGCTTAAATAAAAAAAAAAAAATTAGCAAAATAAGGAAACTGCAACTCTGAATCAGAATAATTCAAATGTTAATAATCTGAAGGATGTTAGTACTTTTATCAGAATTTTATTCCAGTTTTAAACATGTTTGCATTTAAAGTGAGCAGATTAAAGTAGTACTACTGTACGCAAGTAAAATTAATGCTGCTGCATTTCAGAAATGAATACTTCAATTTTTCCCTCATAAGTTTGATAGCTGGCACATTTCTGTATGTCAGATTTTTCTCCCTCCAACAATTAACAGCTTTGTATTATTGTTGCTTTTTAAAGATCTGAGAAATAAAATAAAAAACACGAGACAAAAACGTATTTTTTCCATTTTATTACTTTGTTACAAACAAGATCAAAAGGTGGTCCTTTACTTGCCGGGGAGGATGATGCCATCGTACTGAAAGAGAGGAGACGAGAATGGGAGGTTACACATGAAGGAATTTGAATTTTCAGAAGAACCGTTTCACTCAAAAAGGACGTGAATTTTTAAAAAGCTTCAAAACTTAAATAGTTTAATTACCCTTTTCAATAATTCTAAATAATAATACAGTCAGCCTCCTCTGATTCAAAGGTGCTACTTTTCAGCAAATTATCCACCAAATCTTATGATACATGTTCAGCATTTAACTTGAATTAGAAGTTCAACAAATATCAGGGTTTCCCCTTCAAAATAAAAGTTTAACATTTGGTCAACATTTGAGCTTTGAAAGGTTGATGACACTCAAACTGAGTCAAACATCCTGTTCCTCGTCTTTGTCCCTTTTAAAGGAGCGTTTTCTAAATTTCTTTCTTTCGAAACTGTTTAAAAACTTCAAAAATTAACGTCAGCTATTAAAAAAAATGTTAAGAAGCACCTGCTATGACCAAATCAACCCAACCTTCATTCATGCAGGTCACTAACAGCACATTCTCGTTCTTAACAGTGGTCTTATAAAAAGGTCAAGCCTCTACAGGAAATGAGCAGCACACCCAGTGGGAAACTCTTCCCCCTGGTGGTGAAAGTGTTGCCCTACAGAGGGTAATTCTTCCAAAAAGGACACGTAATCTGGCAGCAATCAGGATCTGTGTACTCACTTTCTGCTGGAACCAGCGCATGGACTCCTCTTTGCGGATGCGGTGCTTGAAACCGATGCGGCCCCTTTTCCGCTTCTTGTCGGCGATGCTGAAGCCGGGTCTGCCCAGAACCTGAACGCAACAAACAGGAGAGAGCGCTTCAGAAAAGGCTCCGAGCAGCATGAATGAGCGTCTGTGAAGCCAAAGCTTTGACCTCAGTACAGCCCCCAAAACAGTTTTCAAAACTTGATTCGCTTATGAAATAAAAACAATCATCTAATACTTGAATGTTACAAAAACATTAGCAAATATTGGCTGCACAGTGCACAACTTCAATAGGAGAAAGTAAACTCAATTAAAGCAGAGCTTAACTTTTTATCTCCTGCTTCAGTTAAAGACGATCAGCTTTGTGTGTGATTTTTAAATCAGACGTCACATCCGAGTTAACAGCATGCAGCTGTGAGTGGGTTTATAATGACAGTCTATGCAGCTGCACCGCACTTCACATTCAGCTGTCACCACATTAAAATTAAACTAGGCTGAAAGGACGTCTCGTTTTGTTAAAAATCAACTTTCTCTTTGCTGAAACACAGGCAGCTCTGTGCCTCACTGCAAAGGCCACACTACAATGATGGCATCAAATAAACTGACATGAATATAAAACACTGCTAAACATAAGCACTTGAGACAAACCTACTGCAGGAAGCTGCTCCGAGGATTAAACGAGTCAAATAAATCCCCGTTACATCGTATTTATTATGATTTGTTGTCTTAGTGTCATCTAAAACCATAAAACCCTCAAAAACCTTCAATGACAGGTCCAAACAGCACCAACCACCCACACACGGACAATCAAAGCAAAAGGAGACAAGTAGCCGTTACTGACCTACCAAGTCCAACCATAAGCGCTACAATTATCTACTCTTAAAGGCATTTGAGTCTTCCTCACCACATAGAAGTCCAGACCGTAGATGCCGATGCTGGGGTCGTACTTGATGCCCAGATCGATGTGCTCCTGGATGCCGAAGCCAAAGTTTCCGGTGTCGGAGAAGTTGTTCTTTCTCAACTCGTACTCACGCACCTGGAAGCAGCAGAGGAGAACCGATTTACAGCAACAGCACAAGAAAATTCCCCCAAAACACGACAGCAAATCTGAATACATTAATACAATTTGTTTTTTGTGAAGAACGATGCATTTTTTATTGAAAAGTTTTCTATGATTTTAAGTTTTACTCAAATTTTAAACACTACAATATAAAACCTTAACATTTATCAGTCTGGGTAAGCGACACCAAGGGCTGAAAAGTGGAAAAAGATCACATGGATGCAGGTAAAACATGACATGGAGACACCGACCTTGAGTCCCTTCTCCAGGATCTCCTCTGCTTTGGCTCCACGGACGGTGCAGTGGACAGCAATCTTTTCATTTCTGCGAATACCGAAGGATCTCACAGTGTAGCGGGCTGCAGGAGGAGGAAACAAAAACAACCTTTAAGTCCCCATAACGGCACGAAGCGGAGTGGAATATTTCCAAAATGCAGTCCATTCCTCCTCAAGGAGGTACACATTTAAGATTAGACACATAGCAAGGGGCTACAGGAAGTAGTTTAAAAAGTTGAGCTGCTACTGGCCCATCAAACACAAGGCGGGATGTGTGCCGCGGTTACTCATAACCTCTGTTCAGCTGCTTACATTTGACTTTAGGATTTGAAAAAGTCTGGTGATCATTTTTGTTTTTTTAACAGTAAAATAGACTTTTCAAAGAAGTTTTCTTGACTTTAAGAAACAGGCTTAAACTCAACTGAGAACAGAAACATAACCTGGACCCGTTACCACAGATTTGCTGGCTTGTTGCCCTCACTCATCAGCACCAGTTGCAGAAGTCAGTTAAGTGAATTATGCATATTTTATTACAGTACAACTACTAACTAAGACTAAACCACAGCTAGAAAGTGAAAACTTTGTTTTTCTATGCAGGAGGACCCGACTAGAACCTGCAACAGGCGTCAATATCACTAATGCCAAACGAGGACTACAGTCACCATCTCCTGTCAGGAGGTACGCAAGTCCAAGAGAGGCCATTGGCAAGTGAGTTTTCAAAGTAAAATACAAATAATGGCAATGCTACAGTCTTCAATACTCACAACTCAGGCCTCAGAGACCGTTTCATCCCAATAGCTTAGATTCTGTTTGGTCTTACCCTCACCTGTCCATATGGCACTCTTGTGTTGTATATTTGTACTGTCCTTTATCATATACACAGGGACTTTACCTTTGAACCTGGTTGTACTGTGTAACAGTGACGAAGTTGTGTTGTTTGCTGAAGTGAGACAGACACCTACCCTTGGAGAAGACGGGGGTCTGCCCCGTGAGCTGCTCCAGCACCTTGGCAGCTCTGGTCAGTCTGTCTCCGCTCTCTCCCACGCAGATGTTCAAGCAGAGCTTGCGAATGCGGACCTCTCGCATGGGGTTCTCCTTCTTCTCACCCTGGTCCTGAAAGGGAACAACACATAGGATCAGCAACTCAAAAATATAAAACATGACAAAACCACCATCATCCAAAGTCCTCACACCATCTTAGCTGCTCCTGTTCCGCTAACAAACCAGCCTAACTCGAGCTTCAGTTTATTCCTTCAGTCTCTTAAGTCCTGTCAATGATCTGATCTACTTCAGCCTGAGATCAACACATGCCGGCCGGAGAACATGTCCGTACATATCCCCGCTGCTAATGCTACTGTTAGCACTGACACAAGAATCATACACGTCCTGATTTTTGGCAACCCCGTTAAACTGCCTAAAAACACCTCGATTAAATAACGACACGCTCAAAAAGCGGCCTGAACGTCTCTGCAATCTGAACTTTAATAGCGGAAGCGCACGGGTTCACAGAGTCTGTTAGCGGCTAGCTGGTTAGCATTACTCGCTTTCCTACTTTTAATCACTTTTCTCCAACTTTTATGTACAAATACGACCCCAGTGTGATCGACCACAGTGAGGTCTATGGCTCTGTTCACGGATCAGCCATCAGGATGAGCCTGCTGCTCCGATGACTGCAGATTTTAACCGTAACTTCACATTTCATCGCCACAGTACGACGTGAGACGATACTCACCGCCATGTTGGATCACTAAAAGAGGGCGTTTCGTTTCCGGCGACGTATATTTATAGTCGTGGGTTCACCGAAACGCGGCTTGAGGAAACATCGATGGGGAGAGCCAAGGTTCCGTGTAACGTAAAATAATAATAACAGCTAAAAACATCAACAACAACAACAACAACAAAAATAAATAAAGTTAAAAATATATCATAAAGTTAAAATGACAATAGAGCTAAAATATTAGACGTCATAAAAGAAAGTTTTTAACTTTTTTCTTTTGAAGGTAAAATCAGCAGTTTTGACTGATAAATTAACACACAGTGCTTTTTTCCCCCTGTTTCCCACTATAATTTAAGCAATGCTTCAAAATACAACATAACTGCACTAATAGGCAGGAGGAGGCATTTATGCTGGCTGCCAGGTGCTTCAAGTCTATTGAAAGATGCTCGTGTGTATTTCTTCTGTATCACTGTTAACTACTATGTCTTTTCAATCTATTTCCTTTAGGGGTTACCAAAGCAGATCATCAGCCTCCATCTCACCCTGCCTCCAACATCCTCTTCTGTCACACTAACCCTCTCCACCACCTTCCTGGCTGCATCCACGAACCTCCTCTTCCTCTTTCCTTCCTGCCTGGCAGCTCCATATTCAACATCTTCTGTCCAGTATATCCACTATCCTTCCTCTGCGCATGTCCAGACCATCTCAGCCTCGCTTCTCTAACCGCTCAACCTGAGCTGTCTTGCTGATGCACTCAGTTCTTATTTTGTCCATTCAGGTCATTCCCAGCAAAATATTAACATCTTCTACTCTGTGCCTTCCTGCTCGGCCCCCTGTCTTTTTTTAGAGCCACCCTTTCCAAACAAACACTAGCAGGTCTCACTACCATCCTGTAAATATCTGTTTACAGGATTAATTAATTAAATATATGTTGATTAAATATATTTTTGTCTTCAGAGTTTTTACCAGACAAAACAATTTCGTCCTCATTTCTTTTATAATTATTTGTGAAAGCAAGACAATTTAATTAAAAAATTACAATAATTATCGTCCAATGTATTATTTTTTCTATATATTGCTATTTAATTGAGCAATAATTACACCTAATGGAAAAGCTGTTGGATGAATTTCCGTTTTTGATCTATTAATATTTTTGTTTATGAGTTTATGAGTCATGTTACACTTAATTTTTCAAAAACACAACATTTAAAATGGTGAATTGAGCCACACGCACACAAAAAAACACAAACTAATGTTTTTGTATTTTATTATTATTATCATTTTCCTTTATTACACTTTAAATACCTTTCTATAAAATACATTTATTACATTTTTTTTAGGTTGCAAGGAAGTCACATTCAATCTGATTTTCACAAAAACACAATATTCCAAAAAGATTTAAAATTCTACATAGAAAAAGTGAGGGAACGGGAAATAATAACAACAACAACAACAACAACAACAATAATAATAATAATAATAAAGGTAAATAATGTGAACACAACCTAACCTTTAATGACATCAATGAACTATTTCATGGATCGAAAGGCTGCCATGGAATAGCTCTACGACATGCACTATAGGTCCACCTGGAAGTTTAATGCTAATATTAAGTAAAGAAAATATCAGGATGTAAAATGTTTTTTTTATAACTACTTCATAACATCAAACAATCTACAATAACGTTCATTTGATTTCCCTTGAAATGTCTGAAATCAGTTTTTGGTCACAGGCTTTCACTTAATCAGCATCATGCTTCACATTTCTCATTACTTAACAAGATAACAGGATATAGAAGGCATAACCCACCAGGACAGTAAATGCTACACCCAGTTTATTCATCAGTGCTGCGTCCACAAAGTGAACCAGTACGAAGGACCTTTCCTCAAACGTCTCATTGCATGTTTCATCTAAATCTTCCCTGGGCATCAGAGGTGGCATCAGAGGTGGCATCAGAGGTGGCACCAGAGCTGGAGGCTTCAGAAGGGGCAGGCCCTCCCTCCTCTGCTCTTTCAGGGCATTGACGAGGAAAGCCAGAGCTTTACGAGAGAAGGAGGACGACGAGAAGAGGTTGCATTCGGGAGCAAAGAAGTGAGGGAGGTTGCCTCTGCTCGCATAGTCCTCCAGCGCCCGGACAAGATACAGGAAGCAGACAGAAAGGTGCTGAGGGTTCCATTTGGCATCGTCATACCTGAAAGACAGGATGCAGGGAGGAAAACATCAGAGAAATCACGTATGTAAGTTAAGAGTCATATCAATTTGTGGGCAGATTACAGGTCATTCATTCTTATCATTATAATTAGTAATAAGCATAAATATACTTTGTTATATTTACTTGTAATATTTTGCAGAGCTTTAAATAGGAAATGTTTTGCTTGTTATTCAACTGAAAGGAAACGATTGTGCTAATCTTTACATATTGTTTATTCTTGGAGTCTAATAGGGTAGCTTTGGACCCTGAGCCACGATTAATTCCCCACATGCAACAATTTTGTCTTTTATTTTGTTTTTCACAACAAAACCAGGGACCAAGCGGAACTTTAGTTAAATAAAGATCAA